ATTATTATTATTATTATTATTATTATTATTATTATTATTATTATTATTATTATTATTGTTGTTGTTGTTGTTGTTGTTGTTGTTGTTGTTGTTGTTGTTGTTGGTGTTGTTATTATTTTATTTATTTATTTTTGCAAAAGGTTGCTGTATTTAAAATTTTGGGTACATTTGTATTAAATGTTAAACGACAAAATCTGATTTTTAGGACACATACGCTGCCGGTGTTTGTGTTAAAAGTATCCAGGCACTGTGTTGTGTGTGTGTGTGTGTGTGTGTGTGTATGTATGTGTGTGTGGGTTGAAAGAGTTTGTGGGTAGATGAGCAGAGTGGATTTTTATTTTTTATTTCTATAACTCTGACACTCTGTAGTGCCAACACATTTAGGCCCTTCATCATCAAAGAAAGAGACTCTCTGCCAGTAAAACTTACTAGTAAAGGAGGGAAAAGTACACAACTCCTAGTGTTTAGTGCTCGGACTGCTCCTTCGTCACATTGACTCTGTATTTAATTGGACGGTGGGGGAGATGACAGATTTTATTATTAAGCTAAGGCTCTGGTTCTCTGCTGCTTCTGTTGAATGGTTCAGTTTTTCTGCTCAAGAACTCCCTGAACTCGTGAGAATCGTCTCGTCCTCTGTCAGCTCAGTGTTTTCTGTACGTACTGATTAGATTTATACGCAGACACAACGTGAACTCCATCATTGCATTCATGCAGCGTGGCTGCCTTTTTCAGCAAGTGTGAGGCGTTTAGAGACCTGGTTGAGAAAAATAAGGAGATGGTATGTTTTTTTTTTTTTTTTTTTTTATATATATCACTTACCGGCAAAGGCGGCGCAATATTGTTTTAATCCGTTTGTGTGTGAGTGTGTTCGTTTGACTGTCTGTTATCAAATTATCTGATAAACCAGTTGACGAATATGAATAAAACTCCCACAAAGTAATCAATGGATGAACATCTACAACTGATTAAGCTTTGGAGTCAACATATTTCAAAATGATTGCCACACCTGAGCAACTTCATCAAACCCAAAATTGACTGAAACTTTGCCAACTTCACAGGAACTGAGCTCAAGTTTGGTGTGGTAGCTGCTGAGGCTGAACCCCAACAAACACTGAAGCACTCACTGATAAAGAAAGATTTATTTTAAAATGTTTTACCATCAACTACGAGTCAACTCTGTTTGTCTCTTAGCAAAATATCTCATGAAACAGTTGATGGGTTTTAATGAAACTCACAGACAACAATTGTAGTTGGTACATCTACAACCTTTTAAACTTTGGAGTCAGCCTACTTCAAAATGACTTCCACATCCAGCAGATGAGGGGGATGGGGCATTAACTCAATTTTACAGATTTCGAGATATAATTTAGTATGGTTATAGTTGAGCAGTATTCACAATAAATACTTGGTGTTTCTGTTGGAGTTGATGCTGTTTGCCTGTTAGCAAAATGTGTCATGAACTACTGGACAAATTTTAATAAAATGTTCAGACTGTAATCATTGGCTGTAGATCTAACACTCATCATTACCTTTTGGGGCCATCTTAGTTCAAGATGGCTGCCACAGCCAATTAACTTTTGTCTACACACATACTTATAACTAATAATATACTGAAAACTGATTTTTTTTTAAATTGGTGAAATCTGGTGTGTAAGAGCTGACGGTCATTCTTTTGTGGATCAACATTATCTTTAAGTTAAAAAAAAAAAAAAAAAAGATGACACTGAATCTAGTGTTGTAGTACTCGAGACCGGTCTTGGTCTTGAGACCACTTTTTAATGGTCTTGCTCTTGTCTCGGACTCGACTACATTTGATCTCAGTCTTGTCTCGGATATTGAGGACTCGGGATTTTATTTCAAGAGCACAGCTGTGGAAATGTCACAAAATTGCCCGAATATTGTCCAGTTTATTCGTCAACATCTTTGTTTTTATCGAATGCAAAACTGAATTCTGATTCAAATCCAAGCGATAACGTGACTCATTACTAAATACATGTTTTTGTTACCGCTGTCACGCCCACCCCCTTTCACTCGCATGCCATTCTGTACCAACAGAACAATACAGAACGTAACGTAGCAACCAGGGGTGAAAGTGAGCCGTTACAGTCCAGTACTGCATACCAGTAAAAGATTCTGTGCCAGTACGCAGTGCCTGGAAGAGAGGGACTGTCTGCTGTAAAGCCTCATTCAGAACCGGTCACAGCTGCACTTTGAGTCAGAATAGATTCACTAACAATAAGCAGTTTAAAACACGACTTAATCAGTTAAAAAAATATATTTTTTTCTTATTTCAAATAGTTTGTGAACTGTTCGTGCTACGCTGGAGCCTCAATTCTCTACCGAGGTGAAGTTAGTTTTACGTTGGAAATTCGAGCTTCGTAGCTTCAGCGGTGTGTTCCTCTCGTTTGATCCGATGCAGGCAGTCTGATGTCGGTCAGCTGCGTTCAGTCTGCCCCTCCTCCGAGACGTAATGGTTTGCTTAGGGACCGTCAACAAATTACTGAACCAAACACTCTTCAGAAACAAAAAATAATATATTTTACATCATTTGACCAACTGACACAAAACTAATGTTAAACTAGTCTAATAGACCTGACACACAAGACACCATCAATTTCTCATTTTAAAGCACTTTCTAATGAGTTATTGAGCAAAAACCATGATTTTTTTTAACTCAAATAAAATGCTTTAAAATGATAAATAAATGCAGGTGCCTCGTCTGTCAGGTCTAGTAGAGTAGTTTAACAGAAGTTTTTTGTCAGTGGGTCACATGACATGAAAATTATTGTGCAAAAACCACTGAATGTCTGATTTCTTTATGTAGCTTTGAAAATGTATAAAAGCTGAGACATAGATTCAAAAGCAAACAAAGTTGCAGAATGTAACTTTTATATAAAAAATAAATAAATAGAAGTTACATATGTTTTTTTTTTTTTTTTACACATTTGTTAAAACTGTCAATATGTCATGACAGTATTGTATGAGACAGATAATCTGTGAAAAGATGGAGCTTCAAGACTTGAGGTCTTGGTCTCGACTTGGTCTCGGATCCCAAAAGTCTTGGTCTTGTCTCAGTCTCGGTACACTCTGGTCTTGGTCTCGGGTTAGGTGGTCTTGAACACAACACTGACTGAATCTCTGACTGCCAGTGAAAAATGGGGGTTTATTGAAGAGCATAACAATAGTGATCAGTTGAAAAGCACCAAGACCCAAAAAAACCCAAATCCTACAGACGTACACAGATCCGTGTGCATCACCCCACCTCTCTTGATCCTCCTGCTTGGTACCGACCATAATATGGAAATGCTCTTCTCTCCTGGCTTTCTGCATGACATATTTTGTCCTAAAAAAAGGTTTACTTCAATTCTCAGCACACACTCCAATCACAGATGTAACACCGTTATGTTTGTGCTTTAACTGAAACGATTAAAACGCTGATGATTTTCAACAAACCTTCATCTTAGTTTGACATAGTTCAAGGAATGCCAGGCCTTTAATTTCCTTTGTGTTTTTAAGAGTACACAGGGTGACAGGAAGTGGATGTTATTTTAGAACCATCAGTTTTAAAACAAAGGTTTTGATTGTTTTTGTCCGTCAGATAGAGAGGCAATTTGCTCTGTG